CGCCACTGCTAGGATCTCCCAGGCTGGGATTGATCTATCGATTGATGTATCAGTCGATCGATCTGTCTGTCTATAAAGAGTGTGTGTGTCTGTGTGTGTGTGCACATGTGTGTACACGTGTGTGTGTGTGTACAGACAACCCTCGCCATTCACAGGGGATATATCCCCATGATCCCCACGAATGGCAAAATCCATGAATAGGGCACTGCATTCATGAACACAGTGCCTCTGGCGGGGGGGGCACCGCTCCAGCAGTGGTGGTGGGAGCCCCACGGCAGCAAGCGCAGAGCTGTAAGTGTTTAAACTATTTAAAATGCGGGTTCAGCATTTGCGAATATCTGAAACTGCGAGTGCTGAACCCACGAATAGTGAGGGTTTCCAGTACAGTATATGCACACATATAATATGTGTGCATGTGGGATGTATATGTGTGGGTACAGAGTGTGCATGTGTGCACTATGGGTGCATTTAGTGTGTGCACGTGTATATTGTGTGCGTGCATACATGTGTATATTTGCATGCATTGTGTGTGTGTGTGTGTGTGTGTGTGTGTGTATAACATGGGTATGTTGAACATGTATGGGTATACTCATAGGTGGGTGTAGACTGCATGTGTGCTGTGCATGGTTGTGTAGCTGTGAGCATGTTTATATAGTGCACATGCACATTTTGGGTGTGTACAGTATGTGTGTGCATGTGTAGATATAGTGTGCGAGTGTATATAGTGTATGCCTGCAATATGTGTGTGTGTGTACAGTGTATGCGTATATAGTGTGTGCATGGTTGTTTGACTGTGTGTATACATATGCGTGTATATGCACATATGTATATATACTGTACATCTATCTAGTGTCTGGGCACATATATGTGTGTACTAGTCAACTGTCCACCAAGAAAGATGGCAGGGAGTGGGCAGGGATGGAGCCCTGTGGCGCTGCCCCCCTCCTTTACCTCCTGCTGTTTGGGGTCTGGGCCTGCTCCCCGCCCCCGCCCCCTGTCCAGTTCTCGGCAAGGCTTTGGAATCTGACAGCTCTCCCACACCTGGAGCACTCTGATTGGCTGTTTCCATCAGCCAATCAGAGTGCAAATAGAGTGTTATAGACAGATAGACTTAGGCTTTTGTAATATTAGAATAATGTGTATGTATATGCGTGTGTGTACACATGTGCATATGTGTAAAGTGTGCGTATAGTACATGTGTATGCGCACATTACGTGTAGTGTATGCACATGTGTATCTGTGTGTATATAGTGCATATATGTACACCCATTATGCATGCATGTGTATACATGTGTATATACATGCACACAGCATATGTTTGTATATATAGTGCATGTTTATGTGTGCATTATGTGCATGTGTATATGCACATACACACATCAACGTGTGTGTGTATATATATGTATATAATGGGTATGTACATGTGTCTGGGCTTATGCATATAGTGTGTGTGCATATATGGGCAGATATTTGCGTATATAGCATGTGTGTGCATATGTGTATAGTGAGTGTATGTACATGGGTGGATGCAGGGCCATCTGTAGAGGGGGTGCGAATCTAGGTGACCGTCCTGTGCCCTGTGGAGCCGGGTGGAGCAGCAGCTCCACGTCCAGTTGCTCACTACATGACCCCCCGCCACTGCCACTGGCAGCGTCTTTGGGTCTGGGATCGGAGCAGGGGCAGGGTGCTGCATGGGCTGATTTGTCCTGGGCCCTGCACCCTGCTCAGGTTGCCTCTGGGTGGATGCGTGCGTGTATATATACAGTTTGTGTATGCTTTGTGCACATAGATATAGTGTGTATGTATACAGGGTCAATATGTGTGTATACATTTGTGTATACGGTATGTGTGCACATTATATGTGTGTGTGTATATTGTGTGTATATAGTGTGTATGTACAGTATGTGTGCGCATTGTGTGGATACAGTACGTGTGCATTATATGCATCTGTGTGTAGTGTGTGCATATATTATGTGTGTATGTATAGAGTATGTGTGTGTATATATATGTGTGCGCATGCACATACATGCATGTCTGTATGCTAATGTGTACACACACACGCTTATAATTATTTTTATTTCATCAGGAAACACCTCCACCAGGTTTTTATCTAATTTTTTTCAGTATTTTTTCCAGTTTATTGATTTCTCCTCATTCCTTTACAGCAGACCCAATACAGGCAATTAAATACATCGGCAAATAACCCCCCCCCCCCCCCAAAAAACCCAACAAAAAAATCAAAATTCCCTCCCCCAACAACAAAAAAAAGGATTAACACAGGCCAAGGGGCTATGTGGTTTCATCCCATGAGTGAACGGAAGTTGTAGCATTAGGAGAAGAGAGAGGATTGCGCCCGGGGGGGGTGTTGTGGAAAGAAACCCAACCAAAATGCAAAATGACTTAAAACCCCCAAATTAACCCTCCCCCAAAACAACGAGGAATTTCATTCCATTGGAAAAAAGTAGAGAGACAGCAGCAGAGGAGGGGGAAACTGAGGCAGAGGCAAACTAGTCAGCCAAACAATGTTCCAGCAGCCGCTTGAGAGACATCTACAACAGGCATTAAATGGATAATATGGACTTTCTTCCCCGCCCCCCGCCACCAAGCTGGGGTCAGTCCAGGGTGAGATTTGTCTCAGTGCAATAATGCTATGTTAGAACGGAGAGGCGGATTAAACAAGTGAAAAAAAGAAAAAAGGTCTGTACATTAAAAGAAGACAGGACGGACAAGACAGGAAGGGGGAGGAGTGGCCTAGTTGGTGGGGAAAGTGGGATCAGTGTCGGGGAGAAGGATTTGCCATTGCAGAGCCTGGTGCCAGCTGGATAACCTGGGAATCCAACATTGCCAACCACTCGGGACTGATGTGGTTCCTGCTGGCTGGCTGGGCCAGGAGTTCAAAATGTCCGCCCTCATATGGCCCATGTGGGAATGACTAGCCTAGGAGCCCAAAATGGCCACCATCCAGTGGCCTATATGGTAACAACCACCCTACAAACCCAACATGGCTGATGTTCCATGGCACATATGGTAATGACCAATGTGGGAGCCCACATTCCGTGGCCCACATAGTAATGACCAGTCTGGGAACCCAAAATTGCCGACCTTCCATGGCTCATGTGGTACCAGCCTGGTAATCAAGAGCCCTCTAGGCCAAGGAATTCAAAATGACCACCATTCTGTGAACAGCTTGGCCACCATAGCCACATGAGCATGGGAATCCAAAATGGCTGCCTTTTGATAGCCAACATGGTAACTATGCTAACCACAGGGCCTAAAGGCTAGGGGTCCAAGATGGCTGACATTCCATGGCCTAGCAGAAGGAATCTAAAATGGCTGCCATTCACTAGCAAAGATGGCTGCCATTGGCTATGGAGGCCAGTCAATCCAAAATGGCCACCCTTTGGTGGCCACCTAGGTCCTGATTGGATCTTGAGGCCAGCAAATCGGATATGGCCACCATCCTCCATCCCTGCCAGAGAACAAAATGGCTGCTGCACCTCATTGGCAGCAACCAACTAGATTTCCAGCCTACACGGTCAATGGAGACTCAGCAATGGTGGCCATTTTGGAACCCAGACTGGCAGCCACATCATTGGCTGGGGTGTGGTGGCCATTTTGACTCCCAGCCTACACCCCAGCTGCCAGTTGTTTTAGGAAGCAAAATGGCCATCATCCCATCCTCCCACTGGTTAGCATAATGGCGATAAGGCAATGGAAGCCATTTTGAATCCCAGCCTACCCTGACACAGGCAGCCATGATGGCGCCTCCAGCATGGCTAGAGAGGCCATGATGGTGGCCATTTTGATTCCAGCTAGGAGCCTCACCAGTAGACAAGATGGCCACTGCACCAGTTGGACTAGCATGGCAATGGTGGCCATTTTGATCCCCAGCCTACCATGACAAAGGTAGGCATACTCAGGCGGCCATATTAGCAGCTAAGGCATGGCAGACATTTTGAAGCCTACCCTCTGCTTATCCAGGGGGCCATCTTGGTGCCCCAGCAAGCCAGGGCAGCCATGTTGAAATATTTAAGGGAGTGGGAGTGGGAGAAGGAGGGTGGTGCAAGCATGTGGAGGGAACAATGAAGTGGGGGGAATGGGAGGGGCTTAGCAGATCCTTAATTTTTAATATATATATATAAAAATATCTATGTACATTTATTATTATTATTATTATTATTATTATTATATTAGGATTTCTTTTTCTTGGGGGTATCAGTCACAGCCCCGGACCTCCCCAGTGAGGGGCAAAGCTAGGGGTGCAATTAGTAGAGATCATACAGCATTCCAGGAGGGCAGGGTTGAGTTTCTGGGGTTGAGGGGGCCGTTATAGTAACGAGCATGGTTTGGGAGGGAGCGGGGCTTGGGAAACTGAGGGCGGGGCTTGTTGAAGGAGGTGGGATTGATTCGTAGGAGGGTGGTGCTTGTTAAAAAGGCTTAAGTTGCAAGGGGGAAGGACTTGGGGGAAAGGGGGCAGGGCTTATTAAGAGGGGGCAGGGAGATCTTTGTAGTAACAAGTGCTGTTGGTGAAGGGACAGGGCTAGCCTTGTTGTTGGGGCAATGAGGGGGCAGGATTGGGAGGGGGCTTAGAAACAAGGAGGCAGGGCATAAGGAGAAAGGGGTGGAACTTATTAAAAGAGGGAGGGGCATGATCTGGGAGAGGCAGGGCTTGTTAAAGGAGGGGGCGGGGTCACCCGAGCCGAGTTAGTCACATTAGGGGGGGAGTGTAGCAGCAGGCTCAGCTCCCGGCCCCCTCCCCCAACCGCCGCTGTGAGAAGGGGGGGACCCAGGCATCTGGGCCCCCTCCCCACTGCCACTCTCACCCGAGGGGGTGGGGCTAAGCAGGCGGGTGGGGGCAGGGCTCAGTTGCGGTTGACGCGGATCTTGAAGGCGACACGGCCGGCGAACTTGTCGCGCTCATCGTCAGCCCGGATGTTGGCAGCACGGATGTGGCACTCAACGTTGTGGTCCACGTTGGCTGTGAGGTTCAGGAACTGCACCGCCACCACGGGCTGTGTGTAGTTCACCTGGGGGTGGGGATGGGGGCGGGGTTAAAGGTTGAGAACCCAGCTGTCCAGGCAACTGCTTTGACCCCGCCCCCTCCCCAAGAACCCAGGCATCTGGGCCCCTCCCTTGTACTCACATGGACCTTCTTGCCGTAGTAGGGGAAGTACATGAGGTCAATGGTGCCGTTGGCCGGGTACAGCGCCAGGTCACCCAGCTGTGCCACATCCTCCTCTTTCTGGGGGTGGGGGGTGGGAAGGGGGTCAGTACCAGCCCCCAGGGCCCTCCAGAATGTCCCTCCAAACATCATGGGCACTGCCAAGGCCCCAGCCATTGTAAAGGCTGTGTAGGCTAGGATCCAACATGGCCACACAGGCCAAGGTGGCATAGGTTAAAATGATCTAACATGGCTGCATAGGCCAGGACTGAACATGGCTGTGTAGGACATGATCCAACATGGCCGCCAGGGCAGGATCCAATGTGGCCACATAGGCCAGGTTCTAACGTGGCCGTGTAGGGCAAGATCCAAAATGGCTGCACAGGCCAAGATCTAACCTGACTACTAGGCTGGATCCAACGTGGCCACATAGGCCAGGACCCAACATGGCTGACAGGTGGAGACCAAACATGGCCAAGTAGGTAGGCAGCCATGTTGCTTCCTGACCTACATGACCAATGGAAGCCATGTTATGACCTGAGGGCAGGCGGCCATCTTGGTTTCTGGCCTACACTGCCAGCGGCAGCCACCTTATGACCAAAGAAGAGCGGCCATCTTAATTCCCAGCCTACAGGGCCAATGGAGGCCAGGTTATGACCTGGGGATGGGCGACCATGTTGGTTTCCAGATTACACAGTCAATGGTGGCCATGTTACAGCGAGGAAGGGGTGGCCATCTTGATTCCCAGGCTACAGGGCCAATAGCGGCCATGTTATGATCAGGGAGTGGCAGCCATCTTGGTTACCAGCCATGCCCTCCCCTGTGATATGGCTGCCATTGGCTGTATAGGCCCCAGACCTTCTACATGCGCCCCCCCTCACCCGACACCTCAGAGCTGCCCCTCAGACCTCCCCCACAAGCCACAGTCCCCTCCAGTTGCTGGCATCAGCCCCCATGGGCACAGCCAGTGCCCCTCACTCCCAACCCACAGCCCCAGCTCTTACTGTGAGCTCCACATCAGGCCGGAGCTGGCGGCAGGGGAGAGAGAGATGGAGTGAATGAATGAATGAATGAGTGGAGAGATGGCGCGAGGGGAGGGGGAAATGCTTCAGGCGGGGGGGAAGGGGTCCTGACGCTCTAGGGCAGGAGCTGGGGGGACAGCAGCTGGACTACAAGCCTGGCTGGTGGGGGTGTTTGGGGGTAGGGGCCTTACCAAGTCAGTCTTTGACCTGGGCCTCTGCAGGTGAGCCGGGGGGAGAAAAGAAAGGGTTAATGATGGGGGGCCAGATGGAGGGGCCAGATATGGGGGAGGGGGACAAAGGCAGGCACTCGCCTTGGCAGCGCAGACCACGCTGACTGTCTTGTTGTCGCCCGGGAAGAAGTTGATCACCTGAAGTCGGGGAGGGAGATTGGGCAGGAGGGGGTCAGAGCATGGGCACCCCCCAAGCGTAATGGTGCCCCTCAGTCCCAACTGGCGGCCTCCTGCC